TTTATGTCTTTGAAATAGTAATAATTAACACTACTCATGACATAAAAAATGTATAAATTCTTTTGGGTCACTAGTTGTAACCGTTTTTCCGGTTATATGTATTAAAAACAAATTAACAACGGTTTTAGAACTAACGACCCAAAAGAATTTATACATTTTTTTATGTCATGAGTAGTGTTAATTATTACTATTTCAAAGACATAAAAAAACATTTTTTACAAAAGACGTATTTTTTATACGAAAAACGTATTTTCAAAAGACAAAAAATATATATTTTACGTAAAATAAATACATAAAAATATACATACAATTTGTTTGTAAAAAACTATTTTTTTATAGTACGACTAAAATACGTTTTGTTTTATTTAAAAAAAAATTATGTAAAAAAATGTTTTTTATAATTTTTTTATTGTTTATGTTTTAACGACTTTGTTAATATATAAATTAGTTTTAGGAAAGAATAAACCAAGAGAGCATTCAACTCAATTGGTTAAAGCTTTGGTAATTTAAGTGGTGGAGGTCATGAGTTTGAGCCCTTCCACTAGCAATTTAATTGTTTTTTTCTAAGAAATTTCAAAAATGGTCTCTATGATTTAGTAAACGTCACGAATTCAATCCCTTTATACTTGAAAAGACGAAAGTGCCCTTACAGATTCAGTCCCTAAAGGCAGAATAGTAACATCGTTAGTAAAAAGGGCCATCTATGCAAATCTTGAAAACCACAGGGGCCATTTGCATAAAAAAAAAATAGCAGGGACTGACTTTGTTACTTTTGGCAAACCACAAGGACCATTTTTGTAATTTTGTCTTTAAAAAATTATTAATCAATTATGCTAATCTTCTTTAATTAACATGACATAAAAAGTAAAAACTATAACTTTACAAGGGTGATCAAACATTGGGTAACTTTAAATGGGTAAATTATCATCATTTAAATTAGCTCAAACATATAAACTTGATCAAACATAGTTATTTTCTTTGATGATATGAAATCATCAGATATGCTATCAGTATTTAGAATCTTAATCAATAAGTTCTTCATTCTAGATGATAATTGGTATGCTTACTGAAACTATCAAATGAATCAAATCCTAAAAGTTGGATTCTGGCAACATAAACAAATGAAATTAGATCTTAACAAGAAGATTAAGACCCAAAATTATCGATTTCTATAAAACAGAGCAGATATACGATTCAGAAAGATGATAAAGACGGATGAGATTAGAACAAAATAGAAATCTGATTGTTGAAATGCAATCCAAATTAAAAGTAAAAACAGCTCATGTCCTCAAACATTCAAATCATTATAGCGTTTACCAAAACCCTAAAAGAGAAATCATAGATAATGTAAAACTGTAAAAAACAAATTACCCATCAAAAACCGGAAAACAGCACCATGGATCAGTACCTCCTTCCAGCTCCGCCACCATATCCACCACGACCACCGCCATATCCTCCGGGTATCGTTGTGGAAACCAAAGGAGTATCCTCCTTGAGAACAATCCCAGGAAGCTCACTCATACCTAAAGAAGCAAGCAACTCAATTGTCTCCTTATCGACCTCAACACGGTCAGTCTTAATGGCGGATTCGTCGGGGACGAAGTCCATACGGCGCTCTCTCTCTTCCTCCTGTAGCTTGAGTGAGATGCCCCTCACTGGACCCTTCTGGATACGCTTCATTAGATGAGTTGAGAATCCGGCGATCTTGTTGCGGAGGCGCTTTGACGGAATGATGGCAACTTCTTCCAAGATCTTCTTGTTGGTGTGGAAATCCAAGGTCATTTTGGAGTAGTAACGCTCGATAACCAGGCGAGAGGATTTCTTGACGGTTTTGGTACGGACGCGACCCATGGTTCTCGGCGGAGAGGAGGCGGCGTCTGCTGGTTTTTGCTCGGAGGGATAACGAGGAGGGTTAGGGTTTGTAAATGGGAATTAGGGTTTATATGCGTTTACTATGAATGTGGATCAAATGGGCCAAATTTAAACCCCAATTATTGTGATTTGTCGCCTAAGTTATAAAATATACTGACAATTGTGGCCTTGTGGGCTCAAACACAATGATCCAATTCACACGATGGAATATTGGGTTCATTAGTTTGTGTATACTTGTACTTTCTACATTTAGAAATATGGGCTTTTATGCAACGTCTTGTTTGTATAAATTGTATTAAGGAAATTGTAGGGAAGTTTTAATATTTTTTGAAAAGTTTTATTTAGTTTTTAAAATTTTCTTTTGAACATAAAAGTCCTGATTATTTCATGTTGACTTAAATTAACAATTTTTTTTTTCTTTTAACAGGAAATGACATATTATCGTGTAAAATCAAATAATCGGGACTTCTCTGTTAAAATAAAATTGGATTAAAGTGAATCCGAAAATGTTGGGACTTTTTTGACAATTTCTCATTGTATTACATGGCTAAAGTTACTAAAACTAATGGCACAACGGTTGCTTTGTTGTCTTCACCGAATAAAAATGTATGTATGGATATGTAGTGAGTTGAAACCTGAGTTCTAAAAATCTTATCAAGGCGTCTTCATGGTTTCAAAGCTTGTATTTGATGTCACATTTTAACAAAATAGAATAATGGTATATAATATATATATATATATACAAAATTGTTACTTAAATCATGTTTTACAAACGACGTGGTTTGTGACAGCTCGTAAAAGTTTGATGTTGGACATTATCGCCAAAATCATGTCTAACGTTATTTAGAACTTTGGTTGAAATTGTCTTCGGTTTTGTCGGCACAACAGGACCTGTCCCCACTGGCTCTCCCAACCATCACGTATGATTTGTGGCATGAAAATCAATTGAGGTGTGTAATTTTATACAGGAGGTCCATATTTTAAGCCTTGGTATGTCTAAACCCTAAACCCTAAAAATATTACCAGTGTTTTGCGATCGACCTCTCACGTAGGCTTTGGAGAGGATTGAAGTGGGCCGCTCAGATAGTGTTGTTTAGCATTTATGATTTTTTAGATCACTCATTGTGGGTGAAATGAGGTGTTCATTGGGATTAAGCACAACATCCAGCTAAAGAAGTTGATGAATATGTACTTTGATAGGTAGGAGGAAAAGGAGGAAAATCTTGACGATGTTATTTTTTCATTATTTAACAAATGTAAGTAGTTTTTTAAATTTTAATGGTATGTCTTAAAAATAAAAAGGTTATGGTATGTACATGGTTTTGTAATGTTTTTCAATGAAATCTAACCTTAAATACTTATAAAAAAACTATTAGACTATTCACCACAATGCTAAAACATTTATAAAATCGAAATGTAAATAAAAATTTGTAAAAAATAATTTTATAAAGAAACTGATTTTGTAAATACGGTTTCGTAAAACCAGACCTGACAATTTGATACACGACACGATTAACACGACACAGACACGATACGAGTTTTCCGTGTATGTGTTTAAGAAATTCGTGTTTCGTGTTTATTCGTGTCTGACACGTATTTTAAATTCGTGTTTCGTGTCTTATACGTGTCAAACATGAATTTACCTGTTTAGACACGTATAAGACACGATACAAATTCGTGTTAACACGTGACACGTACTAACACGTATAAACACGTATATACACATATATACTTTAGGGTTAAATTTTATACTAGTAATATATTAGGGACCAATTTCGTAAAAGTCAATAATTAGTTTATAGCCCTAGTTTAAAAAAAAGTCATTAAAAACGTGTCTATTCGTGTAACACGACTAAAAAACGTGTCTATTCGTGTCGTGTCACGTGTCATACAATTTTTTTACGTGTCGTGTTCGTGTTTAACAAATTTGTGTCGTGTAAATTCGTGTCTGACACGAATAAACGACACGCAGACACGGATTGTCAGGTCTACGTAAAACCTAAATTGTAAAAAGAATAGGCTACAAGAAGAGTAGTCTTCTGCAAAAAAAAAAAAGTAAGTTTTAGATTTACGAGAAAGTTATTTTAATTTTTTTTAAACATATATATACAAGTTTGAAAAAAATTGGTTTATAAAAAAAAGTTATAAAAAAGTTTATTTTTAACTAAGTTTTAAAAAAGTTGTAAAAAAGTTATATAATTTTTTTTTTAAATCAAAATTCTTAACAACCTGTAAATAATTAATCCAATTTGTAAAGAATGATAGAAGTGGAGGTGCTGAGCTTCGAATTCACCGCCTCAAACTTAATGGAAAAAATATGAGGTTAAGGGTATGATCACTACATCCCCATTAGAAAAGTGTTGTCACATCTTTGCAACGTCACTTTCATTACATGTTCACTATCACACTACTACAATTGGAAATGGTCAACACTATCATTATCACACTAAAGCTATTGATCTTGATAACTCGTGACCAAAGCTTCAATCCGCATCACCCCTACGCACCTTAGGGGCGGTGTTCATGTGTGGACATCGCCTCCACGTCAGCCTCTTACGCGTAGAAACGCACTCATACCGGAAAGTCTGAGAGTAAAACTTGAAGTATTCAAAACTTTAAAGGTAAAACCGGACAAATAAGAGTACAAATAATTGATCAAGAAAATAGTATAGTTAAATTAGAAATATATGAAGCCTTACTATATATATATATATATATATATATATATATATATATATATATATATA